AAAAAAAAAGAGATGAAAAACGTGTGAGTTCGGGTTGATGGCATGTTTAGAAAGGTGGCAACGGTACAGTGGCAGTGAGATAAGACAAATAGTAATAAATCTTGTAGCTTGGTTTCAGAAGGTTCGGTGTCAAGCAATAAATCAAAAAATATCAAAAATCCGATATTTAGGAAATTAACTTTTGGCATTTTTCTTTTGATGGTACTGCGGTACGGCAAATTTGGAATGTCGACTTCAATACTCCTGCTCCTGCTTCTGTTACTGTTATCGATGCTATTGTTACGTAACCGAGTATTTTTTGTTGGTCACCTTAAAATACTGTTGTCAAAAAACATTCGCCGAGTTTTTTTCAAATATCAACACTACCTCTTTGTTTCTAGTAATTAATACGGTTAAACATTTTTTTGCTTTTAATATGCTGTTTTCTTTTACTTTCAGTCACGCAACAACGTATTAATCAAATGATTATTATTACTGTTGAGTTCTTCCTTATTTCCTGCATTCTTTTAATCATTTTTTATATTTTGCCGTTCTAGAGAATTTTTGATAAGAAGTTGTTATGCATTTCAACCTTTTCAAATTTTATCAATCCCGGACACCAGAAACTAGGGTAATGAGGAACAAATACAAATAGTGCTATAGGGAAAAAATAGTTTTTTTTGCAAGTAAAGAATTTGGAGTTTTCCTTAAGGGCAGTATAGAAAGATAATGACCATTAGTGAAAGGTCAACACGACCAGTTGCTAACCAATGATTTTATTAAACTAAACCGCACTCAAACAAGAGGAATAGTGATACAATAGCGGTCGCCGTCCTATATTTAATACACAGAAATTTGGCGCCGGTTGATATAAGCAAAACAGTTGCATTTATAGGAAATGCATTTTACATTAACATTAGCATACAGCATAAGGACAGGCTTTTTCTGTACAGGCAATGTTAGGCATTAAGCGTAAACAAATATTGACCCTAAGATAAGAAAAGGAGATATTTTTTGCTTAACTTTGCTGTTCGCTGTCGCGACACTCCGACGCCGAAGGTTGCAAGAAACTCGATTTTGATAAAATCTGAATTGGAACATAATGCATTCGAAGTTGAGTCTTCTTGTCGTTTTTCACAGTGGATTTTTACCTAA